ACTTTTTAAAAAACTCTTCTATAAGAAGCGGAAGTAAAAGAAGAAGTCCTGTCAAACGGGTTCGGTAGATCATTAAACCTCTTTTGTTTTGTCTTCAGTACATTTTCTTTGAATGAAGCTAGATGTACAAAATTTGGTTGACAGGGAGTTCACGGTGTACTCAAAATGGGGAGGACGGGTGGGTTTTTTTGGCAATATTTTACTCACATGTGGTGGGCCCCATGTGAATTGTCTGGAATTATTCTGCATATATTTAGTCTGTACACACAGACTAATTGATTTTCTTTAAGGTCGGATAAAATTGGAACAATGTAAAAAGAAGGTTACTATGGTCCCCCACAAGGATAAAACGCAGAAATGGAGAAGTGGATCTTTGCTACTTCTTTTTCTCCTGTCTTCTTTAATTATCAATAAATACCTCCTATATATCAGTCACCAAGCGCCTTTTGTTCATCCTTTGTCTCTCTAACAGATTCACACACTCAGCCACCCACAACCGCCGGCAAGGTGATGCAGAAAAAAATGAGTACAGGGCTTACCTTTAGTCCTGATGTCAATGAAAAACCAACATTCTATCCGAAACATGGCTGCGGAACTAAAGTTGATGGGAATAAGAAGAAGGTCGTCGGAATAGGGAGTTTCAGATTTTCCCCAAGCTCACTAACCTCCAGATATTCTGCTGCCGGATTCTTTAGGCATATTGGAGAAAAGATTGCAAGAGCTCTGCAGTTTGTGAGGTCTTCGCGTAAAGTTTCGTCTGCTAGTTTGGCAAGATCCAAGTCCTCTGCTGAAACACTTGATTCTCAGCGAACCGAGGCTATCGAGGATTGCATTGAGTTCTTGAATTCCTTCTCATCGTTGACCAGATCAAATTCAGTTACTAGTTCTTGCTAGAAGTGTATGCCTGTAAGAAGAAAAGAATGTAAATTAAAGAGAACCATTCTGATTCTACGTAGGTTATGGTAAGAATTTAATCCAATTATTTATGTAAGAATCCACCTGAAAAAAATGTTAGAAATTTATCTAGTTTGCAAATGTTGATCGTGAAGAAGATTTGAATATCTTTAATAGAAACTGCGTAGTTCAAGAGAATAAAATTTTCTTTTAGATGTTCTTGCTATTGTTTTAAGTTTTGTAATCCTTCCTTCGCTTGTTGAACAATTTCATTTACAAGTTGTTATAGGGATGACAAAAAAATGAGGTTCAATTTGTATTCATGGTCCAGTCTCGTACTACAAGTAAATGACCCCAAGAACCATTTGATTTTCTTGTAGAAAATGGTCCCAAGTGAATGAAATTTCTTCCTGGATGATTTTACTCAAATGAATTTTTATTTAAGTTGTTCCGTCGATTCACACTGAAAATAGTTAGTACAAAAAGTTTGCTGCGAAGTTGTATTATTTTCACGCACACAAAATGAAGAACATAACTTTAGGGACTGCTACTTTGAAAAATAGCAATTTTAGGAAAGAATCTCGAAAGCATCCTCCGACGCTTGAGATGAAGCAGTTGCCTTCTTACTTGTGATCATAAGCATATATGTATGGGTGATCCTCCACACTGCCCTTTATTATCTCTAATTCATCGACAAAAAATTTGCATGCAAAAAATTTTGATGGAAGACTAGAACAAGCCTTCAGTAGAGAACCAGCATAAGCTAATTATAAATCTGAAATATGTGGTAAGAGTAGAGGTTTTGAGGCTCTTCGGTATTGGCATTATGGTTCACTGTTGCAAAAGGGAGCAATAGTTGTAGAGAAGAATGAAAACAATAAGTTAATTCCAGCCAAGAAAGTCACATAATGGAAGATTCGAATTTGATCATCACAAGCTCAACAATGCTAATAAAAAACAGGGAAAATTGCAGCCAAGGTAACAGACATTTCGTTTATTAGCAGGCTTTGTCCAAACATTCATTTATGCCACCGTAAGTATCAAATCTTTAAAAAATTCGCAGCTCAAGTCCAAATTGATGGTTTCTGTTAATTAGACCCTAAAAACTATCAGTTGACCCTAGAAATTAAAATTTTAATAATTTGACCACATAAGACAATGGTAAAGTGGTAAGTTTACAAATTTAATATTAATTAATTAAACTAAAAAAAATAAAAATAAAATAACCTCTCTATATTTATTTCTTCCCATTCCCACCTACCAAAAAATGGGGAAAAACCAATCTCGCCACAAGCCACCCACGGTTGGTAGTGCCACCACCGTAGGGCCATATCGCCATCCACTTCATCTTGAACTCTCTCAAACTCCCTCTTTTCTATCCACATCCCCATCGATCTTTTTCAATCAAAAGCTAGTTTATCACAACAATTTCCTTTCCGTACCAAATGGGAGCATACCAAAACAACAAGTTCAGAGCCGAAATCGGATATTTGAATCTTGTTGCCACTCAATTTCCTTGAGTGGAGGCTAGATTTTGGATCCACACTAGAACGTTGCGTCATCCTTGGAGCCTCCAGTGTAAATTAGATTGCAAAAGTGTTGTATTTTATTGTGCTTGTATTGTTAATGATGATAATAATGGTTGTTGGGCTTGAAACGGATTCCACTGTGAAACATGTTGTTGATTGCATCTCCGAGCTTATTAGGTGTGGATTGAAGTTAGTTAAATGGCATGGAAGGTCGTTTTTGAGGGAGAAAATGGTAGATTGATTTGGTGGGGGTGGCTATGGTTGTGGTTATGGGAGGCGATGGTGGGTAGCTGTGGCAAGCGACGATGGGTGGTGGTATTGGGGATGGGGGTCGGGGGTTTGTGAAGGAGATGATCAATTTTCCTTTTTCCTTTTTTTATTCTTTTATATTAAAATGGTAAAATGGCCATTTTATCCTTGTCTTATGTGGTCAAATTATTAAATTTTTAATTTTTGGGGTCAATTGACTATTTTTGGGGTCAAACTAATAGAAACCGTCAATTTGGACATGAGCATCGATTTTCTTTAAAGGTTTGATACTCATAGTGGCATAAATGAAAGGTTTGAAAAAAGTCTGCTAATAAAAGAAATATTTGGTACCTTGATTGCAATTTTCCCTTTTCTATCACTTTCTGCTATCCTTAATTGATCAAATGTTAAAAAGACTTGTTGGGTATATGCTTACCTTGATGGATACTCTTGCTATAATCAGATACCCATAGCTCCACAAGTTCGAGAGATGACTATCTTCACATGCCTTTACGATACTTATGATGCACTTGGTCATTATAATGCATCCACTACATTTTAGGCGTAACATAATGGCCAAAAATAAAAAAAAAATAAAAAAATCTAACTAAGCTCATGTTTGGTTCAGCTTAAGAATTAGACTAAATTTAAATCAAAATCAACAATTAATTTAACCACACATATTGTTGCACACACTGGTAGAGGCAATAGTCTGATCGTGTGAGGGCTTAATTTAACTATAGGAAATTATTTCAAACACAAAAATAAGAACTTCTCCAAGATACTCTATTTTTAAATAACATGTTTTTCAATTTAAAATGTTGATTATATTGCTTGTTCGAACTTTAGACGAATCAATTTATTCATTTCAATTTTTGGGAAGTCGGGACTAGTGATCCTTGATTCCATGTCATATTATTAAATAATGTTTAAAATAGTATGCCAAACCCTAATATGTACTGTTAAGTAATGGGAAATTTTGACACACACACACACACACACACACATATATATATATACATATATATATGTGTATATATATACATATATATATGTGTATATATATATACATATATATATATATATATATACATATATATATATATATATATATATATATATATATATATTAACTAGTATTCTAAAAAGCGTAATACGTGACAATGTGTGGAGGTCAAACTTCGGACAAGACGACCTTGGACGAGGCCTATGCGTTAAAACAAAAATTCATATGTTAATATTATTTTAAATTTTTAATCAATCTAAAAATAATTTAATAATTAAAATAGTTCCTACCAAACATTTAAAATAGATTTATAGGAACTTTATACATTTTTTCAAAGTTTCCAATAAAAAGATAATTTTAAAATTATAATTACCGAATGTAAATAATGTTGACCCCAAAAAGTGCGCCAACAGATGCCGGTCCCACCCGCGCTTGCGTGGACGAATGTCCAACACGCTAAGACACGTGGACGGTCTGAAACGAGCGGTTCAAAGGGGCGTGGGAGTAGTCCAACGACGCGGGACGGTGACGTTCGGAATCCGGCGGGTTGTTCGTAATCCGATTGTACGATAATTACCAACCGGTACTCGTAGATGTATATGTAAGAATGTATAGACCCAATTTGCGTATTGCAAGTAAATGAGAGAGAGTTGAGGAAATGTGGTTTTTAGTATTGATTCTTGCATTAGCCTTTTACATTATACAATGGGGGTATTTATAGTGATACATATGGAATGGGAGCCCTTGGATGAAGTGGTACGTGGCCTCATCTCCTTAATTCAAATGTTTGTTCTTAGGCATGGGACTTGACTTGCTAGCTTACGGCGCATTTATTGCTTGTGCAGGGCCTCCATGCTAGTGACAAGACTTGACCTTTATGCTTATGACAAACGTTCCATCAATCATTCGAATAAGATCTGTGCAGGCGATCTCTTGGGAGAAGTGACCATAGAGGATGTTTCCCTGTGGTTCAGAGGCTCGCGCATCAGCTTCGGGGCATCGACCATTTGTCATGATACTTCCACTTGAGGGCCTCAGCTGCTCTCAACAGGTTCCAGCAGCCGGGCTCCGGTTCGTAGGCATCGGTCAATGGACCTCGGGGACAAGAGGAGCCTCGGCAGATGGACTTCGGCTCAGTAGTTCGGATGTAGGCCACCTCGGCATTGTATGTCACCTCGACAGGAATGCCACGTGGATCGCCATGAGTGGGCCATTGTCCCAGATAGGTTGGGCAGGTGTGACAACAAGCAACAATAGTCCCCCAAGTCCAAGTATATTCATTTATGTAATGCGTGGACTTTAATGGAGTAAAAAAAATCGAAAGAATTTTTAACCCCAAATGATAATCCCCCAAGTCCAAGTATAGATATTTATATCATGGTTGGAGTTAGAGAAGTGTTGCTGTGGGGGAGAGATGAAGTAGGCGAGGTGTTGATCTTTTGAAGATGAAGCCGAGGTGGTTGAGGAACCGAACCTGCGAGGCTAGTTGCTGAATGACGAAGAGGAAGCCGAGGAGGTTGAGGAACCGAACCTGCGAGGCATGAACGCTGACTGATGAAGAAAAAGCCGAGGTGGTCGAGGAAACGAACCTGCGAGGCTTGTTGTTGGATGATGAAGAAGAAGCCGAGGTGGTTGAGGAACCGAACCTGCGAGGCTTGAACGCTGACTGATGAAGAAGAAGCCGAGGTGGTTGAGGAACCGAACCTGCGGGGCTTGTTGCTGAATGATGAAGAGGAAGCCGAGGTGGTTGAGGAACCGAACCTGCGAGGCTTGAACGCTGACTGATGAAGAAG